TAGCAAGAAAGTTAGCTCGAGAAGATAGATGTAGCCAAAAAAATAAAAAAACAAAGAAAATGATTGCTATATATATATATATATATAAGAAGGGAAGATGAATGTGATCATACCAACAACAGCACTGCTAGATGGAGTCAAGTTGAGCAAATAGTACTCGACTTATTATTATCTCATTTTAAAATAAAACATAATACACTTTCTAAAAATGAACCAATTACTGGTCGAGTGCACAGCTAGCACTTTCCTACAATCAATGTTAGAAAGCGTATTATTGTTTAATATATATCTATATATATCAAAAGTTGAAAGCCAAAACTAATTACACTAAAGTTTCACGCCTAACCTGTGGTCATGTACAATTAATCTATTTAAAATTTGATAGTCAAATTATTGCTAATGATGTATGCATATTATATATATATATATATAATAGTTCTGATTTAGTTTTCTTTATTGAACTTACAAACGAAATTAGGTCAATTAGCAGAAAACTCGTTTCAATCAGACAAAAGAAAAAAAAAATGGAAGAAGAAGAAGAAGGAAGAAGGCACAAAACGGGGATACGGGCTTGGGTATATTCTTAGTTCGGCAAAACTATTTAATAAGCCCTCAAACTTACCCAATTTTAGCATATAAGTCTCTACACTAAAAAAAGCAAACAAGCCCCTTAAACTTTGCAATTTCAACAAACTATCTCGTTGTTAACAAATAACATTAGTTTCTGTTAATTTCAATCAATGTGATAATTAATTAAAAGTAACTTTTTCTTTTTTGGATATTTATGGTCAGGGTGTCTTAAAAACAACTTTTACACATCTCAAGATTAAGCACACCTCTCATATCAACTTGACACATTTTAGGAAATTAATTTCCTTATGTGCTTAACACCAAAACTTGAACCCTAAGCCTAGCCTATAAAATGACATTCATTTACTAGTAAATCCAATCCTTGAGATTATTAAAGGAGTGCTTAATGTATTAATGTAGCAATTAAATGAAATTAACAACTAAATTGAAATTATTCATTTTCTTTTAATTTTCACATTTATGTACATATGATAATCATTTCTTCTTTTATATGTTTTACATGATTTAAGAGCTTAGTTGCTTGTTTTTTAAATTTATGGGCATATCTTTTAAAAATTGAGCTATGTTTAATTTATAGGCTTAACTTTTAAAAATTGAGATTGGTAAGTTGGAGGGCTTAAGGAATGGTTTGCATTTTTAGTCCTTTATGTGTTCTTTAATTACAATTATAACTTTATAGTACAAATTGATAATGAGTTTGATGTTTTGTAGTTTAGACTACACTATACTATAAAAATTGATTATTGGATAGAGAGGCCCTCAGCAAATGTCAAGGGATTTTTCTTAATTTAATAATTAATATTTTATAGTTCAATATAATTCAGATTAAACACTTTTTTGATTGGTAATTGTTTGGATGGTATATTCAATTTAGAGCATTGGCTAGTACAATTGGTGTCCAAACTCATTGTAAAGGCTCATAATCATGAATTCACTAATCTACAGCGGGCGAATTATTCTTACTTCTACCCAAAAAAAAAAAAAAAAAAAACTAATCTATAGCAGGCACCACAATATTATCCAAGTGTTCCTTAATATTATATAAATAATGGAAGAGAAATGCTATTGGGAAAATCATTTTATCCTACCTTTTTGTTTAACCTGACATGTCATTAAAATGATTGATATTGAATGTATTTACTCATTTAATGACATGTAGAAGTTGTATAAAAAGGTAAGACAAAAATATTGTCCCAATAGCATCACCCATAATGGAATTGATATATAAACACAATGTTCCATTAAATGAGAAGTGTTAACTATAATATCTGTTGCATAGAGTCATAAAAACTTTATTAAAGAATAACATTAGAGTTTAGTATATATTAATCTTAACTCTTAAAATAATTAGAATCTCAATCTATATTTAAAAATCAAAATTCTAATTCAAGATTCAAAAATTCACCTTATTAAATATTAATGTCAAGATTTGAAAAGTAATTATATATTCTAATGCAATCAGTTTCTAAATCTAAATATCAATATTGAATAAGATAGATTTTTAAATTTTAAATTTAATTTTAATTAAATAAAGCAACATAATTTAAGATTAAGATTTCAATTTATTTTGGGAATCAAAATTGATATACATGTTTCTCATAAGATTATATATAGGTGAATTATTTTCCTAAAATAATGGGCTTCGTAACCATAATCATGGATTAGAGTGAGAATTAATGGTTGTTGTAGTTTTCTTCTGAACAGATTGTTTGTAGATGGTTTTCAGATGTTCTTCTGTTTATATCAATGGGCATTGAATTTAAGTGTAATTTTGAAAAATGCCAATAAATTGGAGGAAAGAAAAGAGTAAAAAGTAACTGGTGGTCGGCGGCCGCAGGCGGGTTATTTGTTAGACGGAGAAACAAAGGCGCAAATTTGCACACCCAGGAAAAAAGAAAGGCCCTATTTTACATATAAACATGTTTTTTTCTTCCATTATATTTCAGTATTTAACACAGTTCAAAAGATTTGTCACGTTTATTATATTAAAATGGACCACCCTTCAGTTGATTTGAAAATAAAAACCAAAAAAGAGAAATGGACCCCCCTTTAGCTGATTAAAACAAAAAAGAAAAGAAAAAACAAGAAAGAGAAATGGACCACCCTTCGTAGCAAGGAAAAATACAATAAAAAAAGAAAAAAGAAGAAACTGTTTTACTGTAGTCGACTAAGTTTTGTTTTTTCGATGTCACTATTAAATAATTTAAGTGATAATATATATATATAATTTTTTTTTTGAATAAGTTTTAAACTTGAATGGTAAGGATTCAATTAAAAATTATCTAAGGAGCTATGTAATTTAGTAAGAAAGGAGGTTTACTAATTATTTTGTTGATTGAGTTTGGTTTTAAAAGGGATTAATAAAAAAATAATTTTTCATCAATTTTATAACTTTAGCATAAATAATTTATTTTTAACTGAATAAAAAAAATTAATCTCAAATATACATAAACTGACGTACAAAACACCTAACTGCAAAACGAAAAACCCAAAAAAAGAAAAACGAATCACCTCGTATTTTGCAAGCCTGAAATAAATATTAAAAACAAAATCTTCGAATATCCGTCGTTATGTTCGGGACTCACTATTGCTGATCCTAAATTCCTGTGGAGGCAATCTATAAATACCACTATATATCTATCTTGGATTATTTTTTATTTTACATAAAAATTAAAAATTAAAATTGAAATTTATAATTAACAATATAAATAATTCTATCATTAAATTACGTAACTATGATGGTTCTATGTTTTCATGACCTTAGAATGTGGTAATCTCTCTCTTGGCATTAATAATGTTATTATTTTTTTATTTATAATGTTAATTAAAATTAATATTAAAAATTAAAATTGATAACTTGTTATTGAGTATAAGTTTTCAAAATTAATAGCAAAAAAGCTAATGCTTTTATTTTAATTTAATAGTTTAAAATTTTTAACAGATACAAAAAAATTCTAACAATAACAATAATGTTACCACACATCTCAAAATAATTATTACTTTTTATATTTAATTTGTTTGAAATTAATTGTTATTTTTAAAAAAATAAATATTTTTTATTTTAACCTTACTATTTATATTTAATTTGTTTGAAATTAATTGTTATTTTTAAAAAAATAAATATTTTTTATTTTAACCTTACTATTTAGTTTAAATAAAAAAAATATCTTTTTTATTATTTATTTATTTTTTAAAAGTAATATAAGTAAATATGTAAATTGTATTTAAATTATTAGAATCCATTTAAAATGGTTACGATTTTTAATTTTTGGTTTTAGCTT